TTAACTGCCATTGTACTCAAGAACATGCGATTTCTAGAAAAGGGAAATTGTTGAAGTAAAATATAAAAGAAAAATCTCATTTTCAGAAGCAAGGCAAGATTACAAGAAAGGCCCTTCCGACAGAAAAATAATGGAAAATAAAACTACAAATAATGATGGTCAGCCTGACAAATACAGTACCCTCATTGAGAAGCTTGTATACTTGGGACCAAATGATTGGCCTAAATTTCTAACTTTGGGGAATGGGGCAAGCTGAACCACAAAAGGACAAAGAAAAAAGTGAAATGATAAATAAAGAAAAAACAAATAGCAAAATGACAACTCAAACACAAACTACTACCAAAAGTACCAAATCTGCTACTAAACAAAGGTCACAACTATCACCTAATCACTCACAAAAACCCAGGAAAGATGGACTGAAAAGCTTATTTCCCAAAACAACAGAATCAACCAAACAAATGCTGGAAATCCACAATGATCAAATTTCTATGCAAAAAGATGGAGGTAGAAAGCCAAAACCTTCAAATGGCTAAAACCTCCAAAATGAAAACCAAGGAAAAAGAAATCAAAACCACATAAGTTAAAGGCCAAAAATGCTTAAACATCTATGCATAAGATAATTCAATGGAACTGCTGTAGAATAAAGGTAAATATAAATGAACTGATTCTGTTAATAACAGACCTGTCACCAGCAGTTATTTGCCTTCAGGAAACATTCCTTAAGCAAGATGAAAAAATGAATATAAAAGAATACCAACAAGACAACCATACATGTGACACTGGTGGTAAATCTTATCATAGTTAGGAATGATTTACCCCAATTTTGACAACTACTTTACAGGAAACTGCTGCTAAAAGTGATCCTATGTCGTCCAATAAACATTTGCTTGGTATATATCCCACCTAATGAACAAGTAAATGAAGCCGAAATTCATGAAATTATAAGGCATCTCCCTGTGTGCTTTATGATACTAGGGGATTTTAACTGTCACAGCACCATATGGAACTTTAAAGACACAAACCAAAAGGGAAGGAGTTTAGAAATAATTATAAGCAACAATGATTTATGTATTTATGATGATAAAACTTACATAAATCCATTTACTGGCAGCTACTCTGCAATAAATTTATCCATATGTGATCCGACAAGCTATATGGATTTCTCTTGGAAGGTTCTATGCGGTAGTGATCACTTGCCAGCTGTTCTTCAAAATTCAGAACATAATAATAAAAAACTTCTCCATTGGAAATTAGATGAAGTTTATTGGGACAAATTTAAAAACCAATGTTCTGATAAACTAGCTGAAGGTAAATACATCAAGGACTTAAAACAGTTTATGGAAATCATTATATCTATAGCAAAGGAATGCATTCCAAAAAGTTCAGCCTTCCTGAGTAAGACGTTAAACTACATCCGTGTCCTGGGTAAGACGTTAAACTACATCCGTGTCCTGGGTAAGACGTTAAACTATGTCCAGCAGCAAGGCCTCTGATCAGGAGGTTTTGAGGAGTGTGGAACCACCTTATAATTGTTGGTGTTCCCAGGTCCACCCTGACCTGGGGTGGTAGCATCTGTTAGGGTCCCAGCTATGGGCAAATAGTTAACTATTACCAGCAATACTTTTTTGAAACAAATTATTACCAGCAATACAATTTTGAAGGAAAGATATTACCAGAAACAGATTTTTGACAAAACAAAATATTACCAGCAATAAAAAATGTCGCCATTAAATAACCCATTGAGGTTGATATGCCGTAAAACAAAATAAACCAAACCAAAAAGTTCAGTACAAAAAAAAATGTAATTCAATGATGAATGTAAGGAAGCTATCAGGCTCAGGGGAAGAACTTTGAGAGATTTCAACAAACAGCCTTCAACCTCTGATTTCCTACAATTTAAGCAACTTCAAGCAAAAGCATGGAAAATAATTAAAGAAAGCAAAATAGAATGTTGGAAAAATGATGTCAGCAGACTTAATTCATCATGCTTATTCCAAAACCTAGAAAGGATGAACACACCCTGAAAGTTACAGGCTGATACCACTAACAAGCTGCGTATGTAAAACTATGGAGAGAATGGTCAAGAACAGGTTGACTTAGTACCTGGAAACTAATGGTCTAATCAGTGACTATTAATGTGCTTTTAGGAATAGAAGAAATACCGTGGATCACTTAGAACACCTCAAAAACCTTTGTAAGAAAAGCCTTCATTAAGACCGAACAACTCACAGCAGTATTTTTTGATTTAGAAAACGCAACATGAAAATTTGGTATCTGGAAAGACCTGCATGACCTGGTTCTAAAAGGAAGGCTGATGTTTTAAGTCCATATAGGAAGTACATTATCGGAACTGCAAGATCAGTGCTTGACCAGGCACCTGATACAAAAAACAACAAAGACGAAATTGGCAGGGCTTAAATACAGCTCCAGAATTGAACCAGTTTTAACGAATAGGGATGCCAAGCCTTTTGCTACTGATTTAACTGCAATTAGCTTCTATCTAGATCTAACAATCACCTTAAGTATAAAGGTACTCTTCACTAAAATACCAGGATTTACAGCCAACCTACAGAATGGGAAGGTAATCTGTAATAAACCAAAAACAAAAACAGCAGGATTTTCCCAACCATGTAACAACAAAAGGAGCTTATGTTGCAACCACATTAGACACACGAATTCATTCACTAGCTCAGTCACTAAATCTATTTTCAAAATCTACCACGACTCTAACTGTAGAAGTCATAACATAATTTACCTCCTAGAATGCGGATTATGCCAGAAACAATATGTAGGAAAATCTGAATGACCATTTCACTACAGAATTAATAATTATTACAATCAAATTAAGTCGACTCCCCATGAAAGATTATTACCTGTAGAATATTTCCACCTAGAAAAACATGATTTTAAAACCCATGCCAAATTCACTAAATTTGAGAGAATAGAAAAGTTCAGAGCAGATAACATTAGAAAGATTTTAGAGTGCCATGAAAATAAGTTGATTTAAGATTTAAAAACACACTATCCAGACGGGCTTAATCACAAATTTAACAATATAGATAGTATTAATAAATAACCCCACAAATCAGGACCTACCCACGTTTCTCACCCACACAAGACAGACAGCTTACGGAGGTGTTGAGGCCTCACACTTATACACCCACCCACATGAATATACACACTTACACACATCATACTCACTCACTCCCTAATGAGCCAAATGATAACACACACCCATAGTAATATACACGCTTACACACATCATACTCACTCACTCCCTAAGAACCAAATAAAACACACGCTTAACAGAGACACACACCCTTTCCAGGAACCAATAAAACTGTCAAAATGACCAAGGAAATTCAGAGCAGCATGAATCCATCCAGCTCTTATCTCAAATAACAACTTAAAAGAGACTGTTTGACCAATATGAGGACTGACCAAAATTCATGATAAAAAAAATAAAAAAAAACAAATGGAAACTACAGACAAAAGTTCATTTTCTCCATCAAGACATTCATTTCTGTAGTTCACTGCTACCAGCAAGCAGATTTTTTTCTCCTGATGATGGCCATGTTGGCCGAAACTAGTCAAGGAATCTAACTGAAATAATAATAAAAACGAAAGAATATTAATATGAAACCCAGTGTGTCTGAAGATTTTAATTATTTAATATTTTTTTATTGTTCAATATACACATTATTTATATTGTTCAGATTGTTGTCCTCATCTTTATTGCCATATTCACAAGATTTAGGCTGATGTATGCTCCAACCTTCTTCAGATGATTAGAATTTCTATTTATTTCATTCACCAAGGCAGGTTTTTCTAGTTCCACATACCATGCCTCTTCCAGATAACCCAGTAGATAAAAGCATCAGTTGGATCCAGTGACTTGACCCATAATATTGTGAGTTCTATACCTGGCTACTGCACTGATGAACAAAACTTGGAGAGTTGAGAAAGGGCAATAACTGATGCATCTGGAAGATGCATGACACGTGGAACTAGAACAGTTTACCCTGGTGGATGAAATAAAGGGTTTAGCTCAAAAGAAAAAGGACAGAGCATACAACGGCAAAAACATTGTGAATATGGCAATAAGGATGAGGACAAAAGTCCAAACAATGTAAACAATATAAATAATTACAGAAATGTAGGCAAATAAATATATATATATATATATATATATATATATATATTCCACTGATTAGAATTCTTACTTGTAGTCCTCTGTCACTGTCTCTTTCAGTTGACTCTCTTTTTCTGTGCTGTATGAAGAATTTACTCAGTTAAAAATATTTTGAATCTTTTTCTTTTCATCTGCTTTTATTTTTTATCACAATTTTGGCCTTTAAACTGCAGAAACTCAAAACTAATTTAAACAAAATTTCAGTTTTACTGCTTAATTGGTTGAGGTATAGCTTCTGAAAGACAATATGGGACCAGAATTTTTGATTTGATTTTTCCACAAAGTGTCAGCTTAATAAAAAAAATAAAAAAATGTAAAGGTTGCTATAAAAAGTATTAAAATTAGATGAAGGACAACATTTTTTTACATTATTTACAGTCAGACTAACATCATCATACTTGGTGTTATTATCACAATATTTCAGTGGTTGTGTCCTCTGACCTTCTTCAGTTACAAGGAGTTTTGAAGTGAACCTCTTATTTAATCTATGGAGCTAGATTGTTCTCATTCTGCTTGAAATTCCATCAAGGTTACCCAGGTCAACAGAAGGAGGTAAGAGGCTAAAAGAGTCAAGGCATTGGAATAATACCAACAAAACTGAATTCATTAGTATAAATGTAAATAAAGCAAATAACTCAACATTGTTAGTCATTTTTCTTGTATGCTGAGATGTGTCAGTTGTGTTTCAAAAGGTTGCTTTTCTAATTCAAAATGTTATAAATATTGTTTAAATTGTTTTATAATATGAATTAGACAAACTAAGTTTCCAATTGCACTTCATTTTAAAAGAATTTTTTTTTTCTTACAGGAAAATAATTGAATGTTTTACTGACATCCCTGCAGTACAAGCATCAAGTACTTTACTTAATTTTTATGATCAATCAGTTCCTCTCAAAAAATTAGATGACATTTCTTTAAATTCTTGGAAGGAAGGCTTAAACTGCCAGGTAAGTGCAAAAATATTTAATATTCTGACCAAGTCTTTGTGCAGCCACACCTGATATTATTATGTGTGCAGTCCAAATTGGTAAGATAAAAACTAAAATTAACAAGGAAGGGTTTGTTTGCTTAGTGGCATATCAACTCCTTTTAGGTCATTTAATGCTGAAATTTTATTTTCTTGGTTGCATTAGTAATTTCATTTACAAAAATGTATTGCTGGTGTTTTTACTATGAAAATGTATATTTAATACATTCATAGTGTTTTAATCCCGGTTTGGAGGTTAACAATTTACCCATACTTGAGACCCCAACAATTATTACCAATGTGGGTTAGGGTAGACCTGGGAACAACAGCAATTATGAGGTGGTTAACAATGAAAATTGTACCTGTGTGTGCATAGACTAAATGGAAATGAACTAAAAACAAAAGATACAAGTTTTTATACATTAGTTCTCAATGGATTAACCTCTTTATAGATTATCCCATACATTTAGCATTTGAAGGATTATCATGATTATAATTTGGCAGCCTTTTACATTTTAGATCCACAAGTAATATATACTGATCATCTTGCACCTAGAAACACTAGTTTCACAAAATTATTCTCAGTATCTACAGTTACAATGCTGTGCTGAACAATTGCAGATCTTCAGTCAGTTTCTCACCAGTGTGACATGGCTTCCCTCTGTCTTTTCTATAAATATTTTCATGGCAACTGTTCTGATGATGTTCCTTCCTTGGTGCCTCAACTACAGGAAGTTAAGCATGCTACTAAATTGGCAATTAGGTCACATCATTTTACTGTTGAACTAGCTAGATGCATTCTATTCTAATAATTTATTTTCTTGCACTTCCTTCTTGTTGAACTTCCTTATGATTTGTTGCTCACCTGCCACCTCCAATCTTCAAAAATTTAAATGCTACATCAATTGCCATATTCTGCCTTCCGGAACCATGTTACTTATTCTCCATTTCTTCACTTCTCCTCACTAAATCTTCTAATTCTTTTCTACTCCTAGTAAACCCTTCCATTTTAGCTTGCTTGGGACGAAAAGATTAAAAAGATGTTTCTTTGATAAATATAGAGTTTTATGGTGGCATATACAGTTCAATATATTTATGGATGGTAAACAATAGATGAATGATGCCAGGGCAAAAGTTTCGAAAATCTGATAAAACTAAAATTGCAAAGTCTTGAAGAACAAAGCAATATTGAGTCTGGTTAGTGCATAGATGGGTGACCACTTATGAATACAAGATGTTAAACTTGGATGAGAAGGTGGTCTAATGGATAATGGCTCAAAATGAGAAATTGGAGTTCATATCACTTAATCTAAAATATAAAACAACTGAATTTGATTGTATTGTTTTCTATGTATAATCAACCCATTGCAGGTTATTTAAAGACAAAAAATATTTTTAGATAGTAAGAATTTTATTTTTTTTTGTTGAGATAATAGTAATTTAGTGGAACAGGTCATACTAATTAACCCATATCTGGGGGTAAAAGAGGTGGGTTCATACCTTTCCAAAGGTTATTTACATAAGTGAATATAATGAACCCAACTGGAATTGGAAGTTGGCTCTCCAATTAACAATTGCAAGCCTTTATCCATTACAGCACCCACATATCCAAGCTTACAGCAACTGGTATTTCCAAGTGGTCACCCATTTAGGTACTGACTGCTGCTTAACTTTAGTTATTGTATGGTAACCTGTGTTTCAATGTGATATGTATAGAAGTAATATAGTTTTTCAGTGTATGAGGTATGAAACAATTTTATTTATGCTGTGTAGCCATTGAAAAATTTGAGAGGAAGCTTCCTTTTTTTTTTAATAACTAATGTTCATCCAATACAAGACCCAAGAGGACGTGTGGACATATATTAGCATAGGAAAGAACAAACGTTAGGAGTTTGGAGCTGAAGCAAACTTTAAGAGGAGCCAGAAACCCAATCCTGAACAAGGAATAAACCTCTACTCCTGTTCAAAAGGCTGGGCATGAAGGTGAACCGGATGATAGGTGAAGCTTGTATACAAAATGTGATATGGTCATAACTTTTTGCTTCATTTTTATCTTTTTATGGTTGTATGAAAAACGCTTATTAGGGAAAAAAATTGCTGCTTTTTCTTTATTTGGAATTTAGTTGATGTTATCAAAAACAACTTTGCTGCCTTAGCCTTTTATCTGCCAATGATTTGTTTTTGTGTCTGATATCTTTCTATCACAGTATATAAGCAATAAAGGTTTACTGGCGATTTTCAATTTGTTATTAGCCCAACTGGTATTTCCAAGTGGTCACCCATTTAGGTACTGACTGCTGCTCATGTGGAGCAGTGTAAAGTTTAGCAGCCCAAAAGACAGACATAGATGATTAGAGCTCTCTATAGATTCCTGTTCTTTAATATCTGTGAATTCCCATAATTCTTGGGAATGATAGTGATTTTTGGCTTCTTCTCTACTTCTTTAATACACAAATATTCCTTCTGCTAGACTAGATGCCAACCAAGGCTAGTGAGCCCAGGGTATGCTGTTGTTTAACTTCTAGCTAGTGGAGATAAGAATTCAACAAGGGCATGAATACAAAAGTAGATGCAACAGGGTAAGAATTTGAACCAGACTTGTCAATTAGATTTTTTATAATGATGAATATTTTGATAGATTTTCATAAACGACCTAACAATTTTGTAGATAAATCAGAATGTCTGTCCCCGAATAATAAACATAGTATTTTACATAAACTTTTATTTTTCAGTTTTCCTTTAATAAATCTGTCAATGCACTTAACCCACTGCTAAACAAATTCAGCTAATACAGGGTGCCCCTACAAAAGACAAGAAATTTAGTACAGTTTACTCAATTGTTGAAAGAAAAGCAAAGGATAGAAAATTAGGAGCTTAAAACAGAACAAAGACAAAAATGTTTCATGTAGTGTTCAAACTTAAAAAGTTATTTTTTTATATCAGTTAATTTTTTCATCATATAGTAAATTTAAAATTTCCTGTTGTGGGCATTCTGTATTCTTTGAATTCAGATTTAGGTTACATATTTAATGATATATATATATATATATATATATATATATATATATATATATATATATGATGAAACCCCATGAGTAACTACACTATAGGTAGTAACTACCTATATGTAAGTCAACAGACTACAGAGACTAGCTGGGATCTGTTGAGTACGACTCAGACTTGCACGAGAACTCCCAGCCTTCCAATAGTAGCACTCTCTACTGGACTGACTTGCAACAACCTTTTGCATAACTGTAACCTTTATTCTTCTTGTACTGGTTTTGTACAATAAACCTTTACTTATTTTATCCATCTTGTTTTTCAAGTATATATTACTGTTACCACAGAATATAACACACATACATGTGTGTGTGTGTGTGACGTCGTCCCCCGGTCGCAGCGCCGACTGTGACATTCTATCCTGATCTACCACGGCGCCAGTTGTGACGTCCCCAAACAGCACCAATTGTGACGTCCTCGCAGCGGCACCAGCTGTTCGCTCCTCGCTGCTCCGTTCGGGTGTCGCTGCTCCAAACGTGACGTCCGCCTGTCGTGTCAGTCGTGTTGTCTCGCCCCTGTGACGACCAACTGGCTTGGTATGGTAGCAGCACCCAAATGTGACGTTCTAACCTTTTGGTGATTCGGTGGAATCTGGTTAGATTTGATATCAGCCTAAATGGTTTTAATTGCCTCCAACGCCTGGTTACCAAGGTAACTGCATTGATCTCAGTCCGCCTACCCACGTTGTGTGAATTGATCTTAGGCAGACGAGATCAGTGGTTGGGGCCGTAATGCAAACTGAGTTCAACGGGGGTTAATACTACACAAATATGCATAAAAGAAAATAAAATGAAAATTCAAAAAGTTCAAAGTATCAAAGAAAAAGGTAACAAACTTTATGTCTAGTTGTTCGATACATAGTTCTGTGGATTGTGACACGTCATTTTCCGTTAGGCAAGTTTTAATGCTTCAAGTTGTTTGCTCTCTAAGAAATTGGTGTTTCGGTGTGTCTTTGGACGAAAGTCGAAAAAAACTTATTTCGGTGGTCTGGATCTAAGTCACTCTTCAAAATAATTGTTCTTGGGTTGAAGAGGTGTCCGGAATTTGCGTGAATCTTGGTCAGCTGAACTCACTGGAACTGCTGGAACTCAACTCTGGAAACTCAACTCTCCGCTGGAGCCCGAACTCTGATTTCTGCCTGTTGGGGCCTCGCTTTTATTGACGCCGACCAAAACCGGGGTGGGTATATCGGCGTCGGGGGTTCCTCGATAATTCTAAATACATATCCACCTCTTTTATTTCTGGTTAGGGATTTTCCACTCTTTTCCATTTTTAGGAACCTTTCCTTACTCCCACTTTCTCACCATACTTCAGAGGGCGGAACTGCCCTCCCCACTTCTTCAGAGCAGCTTCTCATACTTATACTCTGGATGAGGCGTCGACAGCCTCCTTCATGCGCCACGTGATCACCACTCGACCAATGAGGTCTTAGTCGGGTATCTTTCCTCCTCCTTAAGGCGTCACATGATCATCACTTGACCAATGATGTCTTAGTTGGGCGTGAACAATCCGGCTTTGTTTGAGGGAAAAAAATATCTTGCTTAACTAAAAAAAATTATCTCTTCTCTTTCCCTTTTCTTCCGCTTTAATTGCCGTTATCATTTTTTTCTAGCCAAATGGACAATATGACAACTCTTGTTCTACACATGGTTTTTGTCAGGTATTTTATCGCTAATTATCAAAATGGGTGGTCTTCTTAACACAGCCTCAAAAAAAGAAATATCTCTAAAGTTTCAGTCAGTCTGTCGCCTCCAAGGAAGAAGAAAAACACTTCTGGGTCCCCATTCATTTTCCTTCGTACATATTCCTGATAACATAATTTTATTATCGTGAGGCCAAGGATGTTTCGTCGAAAAAAAAATATCGGTCAGCAGACACGACTTGTGTGGCTTTTAATTTTTCATATCTACCCAAAGTCCT